CCAAGCATCGGCCACTCCTGCTAGTTCTGCACTCAAATTGTATCCCAGTTTGACATTTCTCCTTGCCTCTACCATTTACTAACCTAATTCAAACCACCATCATATCTTAAGACCAGCGGTCTCCAAAATAGATCATACACAAACACACCTGCCACTGACATTTAGAGACTTGGGTTTACAAGTGGAGGTCCCCAGCCAGGCCCTTCTGTTCCCACTCCCATCCTTGTCCCACACCTTAAGGGGCCTCATGTTTACACATTGGGACACTCCAGCTTGCATGTCTAAGCTCTGTCCAGTCTCGCCAAATAGCTTCCACTTGGGCACCTTGTGCACATAGGCAGCACATTTACCTTTTGGAGGACAGATCAAGGGAAGGAGCTTTGGACACAGAAGTGATACAGGCTCTGGAAGTAGGCTTGAAGCCATTTGAGTGGGGAATTCTAGGGACTCAGATACCCAGAGCATGGTCTAAAGGGGGTTGTGAGCTCTAGACAGGCATGTCTCTTTGCATATGGACTTCTCACCGGAAGGAAAGGTCTTGGCCCAAGGAGGGCGAAGTCATGGCCCTTTGCACGTTTCACAGTTATTAAAATGTTAAATATATTTGCTATTTTGAGCAACTGGGTACTAATAATTATAATAATAACTGAATCTTTAAGAAAACTTTTGACACTTAGAGCCTTTTGGTCACAAGGAAAAAATTAAAATTTCATTTTTGTTGCAGAGAAATAAAACAAGGTAATAAAAGATTTTTAAGGATAAGCAATTGTTACATTAAGATAAAATTCGGTGATTAAAGTGGAATGGAAATGATTTCAAGAAAAAGGTAGTGTAAAATTTCTAAAAGTTAAAGAAGAGCTTGCTGGTGTATGTTTAATGAATGATGGTATTGAAAGCATGCTAGAAATGATATCTTTGCATTACTTAAACTTATGAAGAAAATATTGTAGATGTCAACTTAAAAATGTAAAAAGGGGTACATTATTTTTCAAAATTGTTTCAAGGGAATGTAGCAAAACATTGGAAAGACTACTGTTCTGATAAAGGAAGATCAAGCTTATTAAACGATGTATCAGGGTGTACCCTCACAGACATGTATGCTGAAGAGAAATAAATAAGGTTGACTCCTGTCGCATACCAACTATGCGAACTTTTACAAGTTGTCACACCTCTAAGTCCCAATGCCCCCAACTATAAAAATGGATAAGAATACTCATTTGTAGTATTGTGAGGAACAAATGAACATTTACAAAGGAAATTATACAGTTCTTGGATCTTAGAAGTTATCCATTAAATGTAAATTCTTTTCCCCAGAAATTAGCTGTGGGTTTTTTATTTATCTGGATTTGAAATTCACAAACCGTGGTGTGGGGAGGTTCTTCACTAACATTAATAAAGGTATAGATTACCTAGAGTATAGATTCTTTCCAAATGCCTCAATAAGCATGCCAAGTAACCTCTAGTAAAATTGTGCTTTATCCTTCATTAGGCAGGGTTACAGAAAAACTTTCTAGTGCAAAGAATATGGGTGGTCGATTAAAATAACTAAGATAAGAAATCATTCTTGGTTTCTTCATTCTCAGGTTTACTTCATTCTCAATTCAGACAAAAACTACTGCCTTCAAATAAGAACTTAAAAAACTGAGCTCATAGATACAGAGAACAGATTGGTGGTTGCCAGAGGCTGGGTGTTGGGGGTGGGTGAAATGGATGAAGGGGGTCAAAAGGTACAAACTTCCAGTTATAAAATAAATAAGTCATAGGGATGTAATGTACAGCATGGTGACTATAGTTAATAATACTGTATTGCATATTTAAAAGTTGCTAAATAGTAGATCTTAAAAGTTCTCATCACAAGAAAAAAAATTTTTGTAACCATGTATGGTGATGGACATTAACTAGACTTATTGTGGCAATCATTTTGCAATATATGCAAATATGGAATTATTATGTTGTACACCTGAAATTAATATAATATGTCAATCATACTTCAATTAAAAAAGAAATAACTAATGTACATAATAGTTTACAAAAAAAATCACACACTTTCACATACATTCTCACACTTATAGGATATTGAGAACTGTGAAGTCACGGGGGCAATTAGTGGTTCACCATGAAACATTTATATTACCTAATAACAAAGTTGGGAAATGTATATTTATTATAAAAATTACAACAAAATAAGTAAAAACATGAGTTCATCCAAATAACTACATATTAAACTAGACATAAGCTATTTCAGAATTTGTATTGGTTTGTTAAGATACTGTTACTAAATACACACCATTTTTTGTCATCTAATAGGATTCCTTTATAAGGAATTAGTAACCTTGTTAAGAGAAGTTTCTGGGAGGAAAAATAAACTTGGAAAATTATCTGAATTAATTTATTTTCCAGCAAATTTAAAAAGGAGTATGTACTGATTATTTTCCTGTCATTGTTTCAGTTCCCAGAATGCCTTTCTCTACTCTGTGATGTTGGGGCTGGGACTCTGACAAGGACATTTCCCAGTCTCCCTTGCTGGCTGGCTTCCTGTTATAGTTTGTCAGTGGAGGCATTAAAGGGAGATTGGAAGGCAGAAAGGGAGAAGGAACTCACTAGCTATTTTCCAGTTCTTTCAGTATCTCTAGCAGCTGAGGAGGGCTATAGCTGGGCTGCAGATTCCTTCTGCTTTCCCAGCACCAGACTACCAAACCCAGTTAACAGCCAGGCTGAGACCCCTCTTGAGAGCTCTCAGGTTCTGGTAAATCCATCTCTTCCCCTTTGTTCTCCAAGCTCTGGGATGTTAGCTGCTTCCTGAAGTTACAAATCTCTCCCCTTTTTGCTCTTTCAGTCCTTCAACATTGAGTAATCAATTTCCTAAAATGAAATCTCTGTTTGAAATTTCCAGTGTAGTTCGGCTTTCTTGACGAGACCCTGATGGACAGAGTCCTACCACAGTTTGTTTTAGCAGTGCAACCACTTACTTGGTTGGCATACTTCGAGGACCAGTGCCTTACTCAACTGGAGTTGACTGGGTCAAACCAGTGTTGGACTTGGTGGTATAAGATAAGAAAAATAAAGGACAAAAAGTATTCCTATGATCAATTACTGACATATGAAGAGACAGACAGTCAAACACATACAAAGTTGCTCTGAAGGTCTACCTTGCCTGTCAAGAATGGAGAATCTTAATTTCAAGCACCTTAGTAGGAAATGTCCAAGATGATCTCTAACCCACATGATAATCAAGTCCAGGGAAGAGCTGTTTGATTATTTGTCAAGTACCAAACCACAATTATCACTCAAAGAATTAACTTAAATTTCCCCATTAAAGCACCCAACTACTAAATGTTTGTAGAGTCTTAAAAAAAAAATTGCTTGCTTTCTTCTGAAAGCAACAAAGCCCAATTTCACAGAGTAAACAGCAAATCACTTCAGCCCTAGTAGCCAGACTCGTTTGTCCAAAACTTGCTGACTTTAGCTATTAGAGAGCTCTTAGTGGGGAGGAGATTGGATGAATTATTCTCCAAGGATGAGTTCTCATTTCAAGAACTTCCCCTCTGCTTACTGAGCTCTTGACTTGAGTACACCTTCCAGATCTTCCAGGATCTGGGGATTGGGAAAAATGCTGCTTTGTTTGGAACTTTCACTGACAAAGCCTCTCTCCCTAATCAAACTTTCTTCAGGCTCCTCTGAACCCTCTTCTCAACTAGGCCTCAACATTTGGGCTTCAGTGTTTGTCTCTGCATCATCCAGTTTTAGCAAGAATTCTGTCAAGTTGGTTTAGACAGAATTCTTGATATTTGATCACTCTCAATATCTAATTAAATTCCTCATCCACCCAGGTGATGTCTGATCTCCCTGGCCTGCCCTCAGCAAGAATCCTGTTGGTCAGTCTAGCAAAAATTCCCTCCCACGCTTGATGTCTCTTCTTAGTAATTTTCCATCTACCGTCCCCACGCCCCAACTTGCTCCTTGCCTATAAATCCCCACTTATTCTTGCTGTGTTTTGAATTGAGCCCAGTTCTATACGGAAGTCTCTTTTCCTCTATTGCAATAGTTCCTGAATAAAATATTTTTTTACTGCTTCAACTACTCTCCAGCTTTAGCTTTCTTTAGCATCACTCAGAGGCTCACATTCTTGTCCTCCTGACTGTGGGCAGTTTTCCTAAAGCTGGGCCCTAATTAAAGTTGTAAAGTGAAAAGGTGGCAACAGCATCAAGAGAAACCCCAGAGCTACTGGCTACAAAATTATAAAACGGCTTTGGTGCAAATGAGCATCTTCCTACAAATGGAATCTATAATTACCCTTCTGTGCCCAGCATCACATCAGGCGCAGTTAGAGAAGGGATATATAAACGAGGATAACGCCCACCCCGCCCACGGCCGGGGGTGAGGGGTGAGGTGGGGGTGGGAGAACAGTTAGATCTGAAGACAGTCACACACACAGAGAGACAAAGACCCTTCTCCCACGGACTAACCCTCAAGGCGAGCCCAGAAACAAAGCTCCACCGCCTGTCACAGGTAAACTCCTGCGTCTGGGACAAGAACAGTTACAGAAACGATCACACCCAGAGTCAGCCATAGTCTCTCTCACACACCCACAATCACTCTCACACTCTCGGCGTTACAGACCCACAATGTCACACAACGACCCACAATCAGGGGACGTGATTTAAAATACAGAAACTCCTGCACTGACAGAACCCGTCGCTCCGTGGTGCGCAAGCACAAAAGTGTGCAGCGACAGTCACACACAAACCGCCACACCTGAGCATTCAATCACAGTCACGGATGCGCGCGGCTTCACCCTTTCCTCACACGCAGTCGCTCAAGATCACTTGAGCGCCCGGGATCGCGCAGGGTCTCACACAGCCCTCCGGGTACGCGCATCTACGGCCGCGGCCCCTGTGGCGCAGGCGCGAAGCAGAGGCGGGCCTTGGCGCCCTCTGGGAAATGTAGTTCAGCACAGAAGGCCCCCGGCGCAAAGCGTTCTGGGGCTAGTAGTTCGCAGAGTCGGAAGGAAAAGCTGAGTCGCTGGTCCAGGTCTGCAGCTGGATGTTTCCCCAGCCGAGCTCGGGGTCTCGCGCGCCTCAGTCCCCGCCCCGCTCCGTCCCGTGGGGGATTCTGGGAGGCGACGTCGCGGGTCTCGGGTCGCTGGGCGGGTTTCCAGAGTCCGCGGCGCGGGGAGGTGAGTTGGGCCTGGCTGCGCGCGAGAGCCGGAGGTCAGGGCCGGGCGTGGACCGGCGTGGACGAGGATGGGGACCAGGCGGGCGCTCTTGGGGAGACTGTGTCACCATGTGTAACCGTGTGAGAGACTGCGGGTGTGACAGCATGTGATCTTGTCTGTCACTGTGTGTGTGATTGTGTGCGACTGTGATCATCTGTCTCCGGTATAAAACTGTGAGTGTGTGTGTGTTTGTGTGACTCTCTCTGCAGCTATAACTATGTGTTATTGTGTTGGTGAGAGACTGCGGGTGTGGCATTGTGTGTGTGTCGCTGTGTGAATGTGTGTGATTATGTTTGACCACTTGTCTCTGTGGATATAACTGTTTGAATGTATGTGACAGCAGGTGTGATTGGGTGCCCATGACCATCTGTCTTTGCAGGTATAATTTTGTATGAGTAATTATGGCAGGATGTGTGACCTTGTGTGGTATGTCACTGTATATGAGATTGTGTCTGACTGTCTGTTGGAGTAATTATGTATCATCACCAATATCTTTATGTTAATGTGACTGTATATGTGTGTGAGACATTATGAGTGTGATTGTGTGACCCTCTATATGAGTGGGATTGGGTGAAAATTTGTATGTGTATGTGAAACCTAATGTGTGATCATGAGGCACAGAAAGATTAAAATTACTTGCCCAAGTTCACACAGTTAATAAGTGACAGAACGGGGACTTGAACCTAGGTAGTTTGGCTCCAGAGTCCTTGCTTTTAATTACTAAACTCTCTTGATCTTTCCCACATTGTGAGAATGAAAAATCAGGGCTCTGGGTGCTAAGGGTGTTGGAGAGGATTGTCCCTGGCCTCGGACTAGGAACCTTCGAGACTTGGGAACTTAATCTGGGTCTCTCTTCAATCCGCTTGTGAGTCACAGGACCCAGTCTAAAGACACTGCAGTGAGACCATCCTCAAATTGGCTGCCTCTCGGGGAGGAAAGCCCAACCTGAAAGCCCATCTTCCTCTCCTTAGGCCGTGGAGTTTGAGATTTTAGCTTTGTCCTTGTCAAAACTCTACCACGTTTGGTGCTGAGAGAGGGTGATCCATGGCTCTTTTTCTGATGTACCAAGAGAGCTAAATTTTTGGTGCTTTCTCAGTCAATAAAGAAAACTGTTCTCATTTCCTCTCTGAATGTGTGTGTAGAATCTAAGCTGGAACAAGGGTGGCACTTCTCTATGTCAGGAATTGGCTCATGCAGTCTTGACAGTGAGGAAAGAAAGGTTCTGAGAGACGGATTAGCTTGTCCAAGGTTATGTAGCCAATGAGTGAAGGAGCAGAGTCAGCCTGTGCCTGGGGGCTGTATAAGGTCTAAGTCATTAACATCACCTTCTTGCAGACTGATGGCTCATCTCAAACTTGGAAAATATTACCCAAGAGATACACAGCTATTTGCAGGCAGAAACTTAAAAGACATTTCTTTTATGAAAATGCTATTTAGGGTTCCCAGATGCTAAGAATACTTCACTGATTCTCCTCTCAGGTTGCAAAGGCTTTTAAAGCTGCATTGCACTAAGGAAATAACTTTTGAATTGACTAGTGCAGAGTAGCCTAGAATTAGGGGTCTGGTATTCTAAATTCTAGGTCAAACGCAACTAGCTTCATTTTCAGAAGGAAGAAATGTTGGCTCTGAGAGGACAAGAAACATGTTTCAGGCTGTGTGGTTTGTTATTGGTATGGTTAAAATTTGGCAGTGTTTGCCTCAGGCTGCATTTCTGTGGAGTAATAAAGGTAACATCTACCATCTCTGAAGATGCTTCTCTAAGAATTATGTGGCGTTGATTCCTCAGATTATGTTGAATATTTCCCATTCAGATATTGTGGTCTCTTGAAAAAGGACCAGTTTTGAGGTCACACTGCAGTTTGACTCTTAGGACTTAGGTTAGTTGTTTTAGCTTTTTGAACCTCAATATCACTCGTCAGTGAAGTGGGGATAATAATACCTACCTTTGCATTTTTGTGAAGATTAAATAAGATAATGACTTATACAACATGTGTAACATCACTATTTATATTACAGGAGCACAGTAAGATTGATTTATTCATTTATCATATATTTTTTGAGCACATACAATTGTTCTGGCATTATTCTAGCACCAGTGAACCACACAAATCCTAGGTCTATTAGATCTTACGGTATTGTTTGGGAAGGCAACAACAAACAAACAAAAGTAACATGTCCAATTGTGTTAAATGCTAAGAAGAAGAAAAATTAGGATAAGGAAAAAGAGACTGGACGGGAGATTCTCTTTAGATAGAAGTTTCAGGAAAGTCCCTCTGATGTGGTGACAACTGAGAACAGGTAGCAGTGAAGAGAAGGAGTGAGCCATGTCCAGGCAGAAGGAAAAGCAAAGGCAACAGCCTTGAAGAAGGAGTGTGCACAGTGTTTGAGGAATTGTAAGGAAACCTGTGTGCCTGAAGTGGGGTGAGTGAGGGGGAGAAGGGTAGGAAATGAGGTCTAAGGGACAGCTAGGGGCCAGATCATAAACCACCTTGTCGGCCATAGGATGGACTTGAGATTTTGGTGAGTTCAGGCTATGTGTCCTTAATATCAGTCAAGACTTCAGAGTTTAAGTTCAGCTTTGGCCTTTTTCTCAGGTCTTAGAACGGGGTAGGGCTGGCCCCTGTAAGGAGGCTGTGGGGACCATAAAGGAGCAATAATTCTATCTTTGTGAGTCTCAGATCAGCCACACAGGGCTGGTCTGCCATTTTTTCTTCCTTAACTCTCCCTTCTCAGGACTTTGTTCTCCAAAAGAGAAAATTGAAGAAGGAAGGAGCAATGGCTGTTGGACTTTGTAAAGCCATGTCCCAGGTAAGTTGATGTTTTCATTTTGTTTCCAGAAATTCCACCTCATTTTTCAGGACTTTGGGACTTCAGAGAGAGTCACAAATAGCCTGATGAGCACTTTCTCCACTATTTGTTCATATAATCCTTCTACAAAACATTTAGTATCTTTTTTACTCAGTGTTGTGCTCTAATGTGTGATGGAACAGAACTGTCCTCTTTAGATGGATCATGATTTAGTGTGTTGGAGATGAGTGCAAGTGAGGTGGAGGATAGAGTGTGATTATCAAGTGCCCTAATAAATAGGTTGAGAATGACCTCTCTGAGGAAGTGACGTTTAAGCAAAAAAAAACCTCTGAAAGTAGGGAGTAAGATTTGTGGAGATTTGGGGAAGAGCTTTAAAAGTAGAAAGAATAACAAGTACGAAGTTACTATAGTAGGAGCATGTTTGATGTGTTCCAGGAATAGCAATGAGCCAGTATCTTTGAGGGAAATGAGCACTGTGAGGTCAAAGGAGTAGGTGGGCACCAAATTATGTAGGCCCCTGAAAGTCATGACCAGAACTTCAAGTTTTGTTCTAAGGGTGAAGGAGAGCCATTGGAGTGTTTGTGATGTGATTTGATCTATGTTTTAAAAGGAAAATAGATAGCAGAGAAGTAAGGGTGGGAGCAGGTAGTCAGGAGACTACTGCCGTAATCCAGGTGGGAGGTCATAGCTGCCTGGCCCATGGTGGCAGCATAGGAGGTGGTGAGATTCTGAGTACATATTGGAGATGGAAAATACGGGCTTTGGTCAGGGATTGGTTTTGGAGTGTGAGAGGAAGAAAGAAGTCATGGATGACTACAAAGATTTTTGACCTGGGCAACTGTATAAATGGTCATGCTATTTACTGATATGAAAAGACAGGCTAGGGTGAGATGGGAATCAAGAATTGAGTCCTAGTTATATTGTTTGAAAGACCTGTTGCATATCCGAGTGGCATATTGATTATGTGTCTCGAGTTCAGGACTGGAGATGTGAATTTGAGAGTCATTAGTGTATTTAAAGCCATGGGACAGGATGAGATTATCTTGAGGATAGGATTGTGGTGAATGTAGATAGAAAAGAGGTCTGAGGACTAAGTTTAGGGCATTCAGCATTTGGATGCTGACAAGAAGAGGAGGAACCAGTAAAAAAGACTGAGAAGGACTGGTGTAGAAGGAAAACCAGAAGAGGGTCGGTCCTGGAAGTGAAGAGTAGAATGTGTTTCAAGGAGGGAATGGTCAACTGATTGAAATTCTTCCGAGAGAGATTGAAGAAGTTGAAGACTGAGAACTGACCACTGGATTTGGTAACGTGGAAGCTACTGACACCCTTGATGAGAGCTACTTTATAGAGTGATTGGGGTGAGAGCATCAATACATTGTGTTCAAGAGAAAATAGAAGGCGAAAATGTGAGACTAGAGACAGTGAGTCTAGACCTGTGCTGTCCAGTAATGTATCCAGTAGCCACATATGACTACTCCGAATTGAAATGTGCTGTAAGCATAAAATACTTACCAAATTTTGAAGATTCAGTACAAAAAAGAATGTAAAGCATCTCATTAATTTTATATTGATTAGAGGTTGAAATAACATTTTAGATATATTGGGTTAAATAAAATATATTATTAAATTAATTTTACTTATTTTTATTTACTTTTTTAATGTAGCTACTGAAAAATTTTAAACTACATATATGGTTTGTGTTGTGTTTCTATTGGACATCACCGATCCAAACAACTCTTGGGAAGAGTTTTGTTATTAAGAGTAGAGAAACGAGACAATAGCTAGAGTGAGATCATGGAGGGGAATTTATCTATCTATCTATTTATAAGATGGAAGATATTGCATCAGTTTGTATACTGATAGGAATAATCCAGTAAAGTGAGAAAATACTGGTAATACGAGAGAGATAACCTGATATCTCCCTGATAATTACCAGGGAGAGAGGTAACAATGTCCTTGTGTGGACAAGTAAAGGGATTGGTCTTAGATAGGAGCCTCGAGTTTTCTTTGTAGTAACAGAGGGAAGGCAGAATATGTGAGTTCAGATACAGGTCAGTAAGTACATGTGGTGGGCTAGAGGAGGAGGAAGTTCAAAGTGAGAACAGGGGAGGAATTGGTGGTGGTTTGAGAGAGAGAAGGTATGAAACAGTCATGGGGGAGTGAGAGAGTGAATTTATTCGGAAAATGCAGTAGGGTTGTTTTGTGGGATCTCTGGTCATACCCTAGAAGTACATTGAGTCAACGCATTTATCAGTCAGGGTTCTGGCAAGAAACTCAAAAGAGGACTATTTACAAGTAAATAGAGAAACTACAAAGGATAGTGCTATCCCCTGGGGCTCATAACGGCAGAGCTCCCTGACTAACTTCAGGACTGAACCCAGAGACAGAGGATCTGAGTGGAGAGGCCTCTCACAGGCATTGTGACCTTCACCTGAAGGACAGAGACCACACAGGGTGATGCTGTAAGGAGGGAGCCAGGGGAATAAATGCTGTGCTTCGCTTGCCTCCCTCCCGTCTCTTGCATGTGACTTAACCCAGCTGAAAATGGAGTGGGGAAAGGGAGTCTATGGATGTAGTCAATACAGGTCAGCCTCCCAGGACACAGGGAAGTGTAGAGGGGCACACGGAAGTTATACAACACTATGTAGTTGTGTGATTTTTTTTTTCTCTAGGTGCATTCATCCTTATTTTTACTATGTAGAATAACCGTATTTGATATTTCATTATTTTTAATAAAAAATGAGACCATTCTCTGCAACATGGAACTGTCATTTTTAAGCATTGAGTACTCTTCCTTCATATGGATGTATTATAGGAAATTTCACCATTTATTCACTGAGTGGCAAATATTTACTGAGTGTTTACAGTGTAACAGATTTTGTAATAGACACTGGATATATATCAGCTTATAAAACAGATATCTTTCCCCTCATACAGCTTATAGTTCAGTGGTATAGCCTAAACTCTTACTTTTTGGGCATGTAAGTTTTTTCCAGATTTTTTCGTATAAGGTTCCAATGAAAATTCTATCTAAACTTCTTCATATATGCTTCATTATTTCTTCAAGATACATTCCTGCAAGTTTCTCCTTACATATAGAGTCTAGATTTCAGACCATACTGTTGTTAAAGTCCCATTCAAGGCCCTCCTTCACTACTCTGACGCATCTGACATCCTAGTTTGGGGAACGTAAAGGAATTCTCCCTATAAGAATGTCTTGATACTTAGCATATGTAACATAAAACTTAGCCTTAGCTCATATACTTTCATCTTATAAACTCATATTTCATGCTATAAGCTAATTTTTTTCTTATGTATATATCTTTTCTCTTTCACAAAAATGTGAAAACTTCCAGGGGTGAGTCTGTTTCTAACATTTCTCTTTCTCTCAAAATATTTGACAAACCTGGGCACGTACTTGTTCCCCAATAATTATTTTCCCTGGACCACTTAGAGCTTTGAACTCGGGCAGAATTCGTCTTTTCTGCTATGACCATGTGGGAACACTTGGCAAACAATTTTTTATTTCAGGGTTTGGTGACCTTCAGGGATGTGGCTCTAGATTTTTCCCAAGAGGAATGGGAATGGCTGGACTCATCTCAGAAAGATTTATACAGAGATGTCATGTTGGAGAACTACAGGAACTTGGTATGGCTTGGTAAGGATATCTCTCCCCCATAATTCAAAATCTTCCCTCTGGGTATTTTTGCTTCCTCCATTGGGAATATCTAGGGCATCTTAAGTGCTCAGGGAGTTTCTACTTCCTGTTCCCAGGAAATAATTTGAAGTAGTTTTATAGAGTTAGAAATGAATAGTTCCCTTTGCTGTAGAATGATGGTTTGGAACAGCAGTATCAGTATGGTGTGAGGATTTGTTAAATTGCAAATTATGGGGTCCCACTCTAGACCTACAGAATCAGGAACTCTGGGAATAGGCCCAGTAGTGTGGGTTTTGATGAGCCCTCCAATGATTCTGATGCCCATTAAAGCGTGAGAACCACTGTGGTTTCTGACTCAATAGGTCTAGGTTGGGGCCTGAGAATTTTCATTTCTAATAAGTTCTGGGTGATAGTGCTTCTGCTCTAGCACTTTGAGAACTGCTGCTATGGAAGAAGCTTCAACTCCCTCATCCTCCATACAAGCATCATTCCATTCTGTGGCCCTTCCTCTGATGTCCTTTCTTGTCTAATGACCCAGAGATTGAGTCTGAGTCCTGGAACAGCTATAGCAAGTTGAGTTGTCTATTTATCTATCTGTCTCCTTCTCCCTCTCATTTTTCTTCTCCTGTGAACAGGACTCTCCATCTCTAAGCCCAACATGATCTCCTTATTGGAGCAGGGGAAGGAACCTTGGATGGTGGAGAGAGAGATGTCAGATGGTCAATATGCAGGTGAGTGATGGGGAGCTTGGCAGGGAGGGCTGTTGTAAGGTGCCAGCCCAAGTGGTCATGAGAAGGGCTGCATGTGAGGAGGCTGCCCTGGGCTTAAGGGGGCATTTTTCCTCCCTGCTTCTATCACACTGTACTCTCTATAATACTTCTACCTATACCCTGAATCTCAGTCCTTCTCCCTTTATGGTCAAAATTGTATACATTCCTAGATTTTTTTAGAGCTTTTAGTTTTATCAAAATTATGCATGCACATTGTTTAAAGAGTCAAGTAGTTTTACAAGGCTTATTCCCTTAAAAAAGGCAGTTTCTTGCCCTGCGCCCCAGTTTCCCTCTCCCTAGAGGGATCCGCTTTCTTTACTTTTACAGCTTCTTTTGGTGTTTCCTTCATGTCTCTAACAAATGTGTTTATGTTGCTATTTCTTGATTTTTTTTTCAGGTTTAGTCCTCATCCAATACCTTCTCACTAAGAAAATAAGAATTTAGTACTTTCTTATGCTGAATCCAACACATGTGCACCCATGCACGCGCGCGCGCACACATGCACGCACACACACACACACACACACACTTCCCATCCTCCTGTCTCACCAATATCATAATTTTGATTGACTCACTGATCAGTGTTTACATTATTATGGCTATTAAATGCTGGTCATAGCTGTGCTGTTCATATGCCAAGATTACTTTTTCTATACAACTTTTTATTTTTCTTGGAGTTAATAATTATCTGGAGGTTTTATTTATTTGTTTTTTTCCTTAGTTTTCTATGTATGTATTCCTAACTCAATTCCCAACTCCTCATCAATTGTGTAAATCTCTTAAGACACTCAGACACATTAGGTAATCTGTTGATTTTATCTTCTTGGAGAAATCTCTCCCAGAGTCTTCTGATATGCTTCACTCTGGATAAATGGCTCGTTACATCTGCTTGTACTCAATTTGGGTTTATCTGATGTTTTCTCATGACTAAATTGAGGTAATGCATTTTTGAAGAGTGCCACAGAAATAATGTTGTGTCCCTCTCATTGCATCATACAAAGGGTTGATAATATCGATATGTCTTATTATTGATGATGTTAACTTTGGTCACTTGGTGAAGGTGGTGTCTGCCGGGTTTCTCCATTGTAAAGTTACTATTTTTCTATTTGTAATTAATAAATATCTTGGGGGAGATGCTTTGAGACTATTTAGTTTCTTCTGAAACTTTTGCCCGCTAATTTTAGCATCCATTGGCCCATTGGATCTTGTCTGCAACAATTACTGTGGTGTTGACCTAATGTTGGTTTTTCCATTTCTCTCTTTACTATATTAATTAGGATTGTTCTGTAGGGAGGAGCTGTTCCTTCTCTCCCATTTATTTATATGTTCAATTATTTCTTTATATTTATGGAATCATGGATTTTTATTTTTTCTGTGAGGTAAATCCAATGAATCATTATTTTGTCGCTCAAAGTGTTCCAGCTTTGACCACTGAGATCTCCTTCAAGTTGGTTCCTTTGACCTTTTAACGTGACCCCATACAATTTTTGAGCACTTCCTTCCCGGTTCTGGTGTTTTAGGTTTATCTTGTTTTCCTTGCCCCAGACTTGAATCAACCACTTCTCCAAGGAGCCCTGGTTCCTTTTATTGGGAAATGATGTTTAGAAACCAAGATCTAGGGGCCTGCCCTGTGGCATAGTGGTTAAGTGAGCGCGTTCCGCTGCTGGCGGCCTAGGTTCAGATCCTGGGCATGCACCGACGTATCGCTTGTCAGGCCATGCTGTGGTGGCATCCCACGTAAAGTGGAGGAAGATGGGCACGGATGTTAGCTCAGGGCTGATCTTCCTCATACACACACACTAAATAAATAAATATTAAATTTGAAAAAAAAAAAGAAAGAAACCAACGTCTAGGTGCCAGGTGTGCTCATTGCTGCTGGGATGTCATTTCTTCTAGGCCCTCACAGCAGATTGAGCTGGAAAATATATGAATGTATACTAACACACACACACACTTCTGTATTTCTGCTTCTATCTTTTTATATATTAAAATCATCAGTTTATATTGATGCCTTGATTCTAGTCCTGTTCCACAGGGTTTATTGTAGCCTTCCTCCTTTACTTGTTTTTAATTTCTTTTTCTGACAATGAGGAATAATGTATTTACTTATTTGCTCAATTTTAGTATTTTTTACCCATACAGTAGCTTCAGAATTTCCCACCTATTCCTCTGTGAGAAAAAAATTTACTAACTAGATTACATTATTTATATATGGTTCTTTTTTTTTGTCTTTAGTCTTACCATATTCAGTCAAAATACTGTTTTCCAAAGTTAGGTTAGTTCTTTTAGGTTCATTTGCTACTGTTTGTATTTTATTGTGGGTTCCTGCCACATCCTGGTTGGTTTTTATTGTTTATTTTTTTGGTATCTGAAACATTACTTTGCTCCTAAGAAGCAGAGCTATACTTGCTCCCTCCTCATCCCTACTATCCTGTTTCTATTTCCTGCATCTTCCTACCCCTTCCTTACCCACCCCTTGTAGATTACCAGTCTCTTTTTTTCCAAGTTTGTCCTTTTTACCTTTCTTTTGCACAAATGAACAGATACATATATAGTTTCTTATATCTCATTGTATGCTACATGAAGAGTAGCATACCATAGATACTCTTTGCATTTTGCTTTTTTTCACTTAACTATGTATACAGGAAATATTAGTTCATGGAGATCTTCCTCATTTTTTTAACAGCTGTAAAATACTTCATTATGTGGATGTTACGGTAATTTATTCAACTACTCTCTAATATGTGGACATATAGGATGTTTGCAGTATTTTACAATTACAAACAATGCTGCAATAAATAACCTAGTACATATGTATTTTCATATTGTTGAGCCTGTATTTTCAGGGTAGATTCCTAGATGTGGGATTGCTGAGTAAGTGCATGTGTAGTTTTGTTAGGAATTGCCAAATTCCCCTCCAGAAAGGTTGTACCGGTCTGCTTTCTGTAGTAGTTTCTTATTACTGCTGTAACAAATTACCACAAACATAGTGGCTTAAAACAACACAAATTTATTATCTTATAGCTCTGGAGGTCAGAAGTTGAAAATGGGTCTTTCAGGGCTAAAATCAAGATGTCAGCAGCCTCCCTGCCTTCCACAGGCCCTGGGGAGAATCTGTTTCTTGCCTTTTTGTACTTTCTTTAGGGCCTTTACCCATCCTTTTATTTTCAACTTTTAGAATCCCTTTATTTTAAATGTGGGGTTTATATGCAGTATAGAATTGAGTTTTGCTTTGTGAACTGATCTGAATATCATTTCAATTTAATAAGTGAAAGTTCAGATTAGGGGCTGGCCCCGTGGCATAGCGGTTAAGTTCGCGCATTCCGCTTTGGAGGCCTGGGATTCACCGGCTCAGATCCTGGACGCAGACCTACTCACCACTGGTCAAGCCATGCTGAGGTGGCGTCCCATATAGAAGAGCTACAGCTCTACAGCTATGATACACAACTATGTACTGGGGCTGTGGGGAGAAAAAAGAGGAAGATTGGCAACAGATGTTAGTGCAGGACCAATCTTCCTCAAAAAAAATATATATTTTTGAAATGTTTGGGCTTAATTCTGTATATTGTTTTATGTTATATTTTCTAGTTTTTACAGTTTTTAGAAAAAACTTTCACTTATCTGTTTTAGTGCTCTGTTTATTTAGACAGTATTTATTCCTTCTGTTTCTTGATTGGTCAGCTTTAAAAACTAGCCTTTGGGGCCGGCCTAGTGGCGCAAGGGGTTAAGTGTGCACGCTCTGCTGCGGCTGACCGGGGTTCGCCGGTTCGGATCCGGGGCGTGCACCAACGCACCACTTGGCAAGCCATGCTGTGGAGGTGTCCCATATAAAGTAGAGGAAGATGGGCATGGATGTTAGCCCAGGGCCAGCCTTCCTCAGCAGAAAGAGGAGGATAGGCAATAGATGTCAGCTCAGGGCTGATCTTCCTCACAAAAAGAAATAAATAAATAAAACAAAAAAAACTAGCCTTTGATTTTTACTTGTTACAGTTAAGTCAGTATGTAGGCTTATTTTACTCCCCACCTTTTCTTCCCAAATTTTGTTAGTTGTGAGCTTTTTGCATTTTCAAGGCATATTATATTTACGTGCCGTTCTGTCACATTTATCCCAACCTTCCATTTAGTCTTAGTTCTGTAGTTAAATGTATTCAGTGTTTTCCATAGTTCTTTTGGTGAAATTTCTCTAGTCCTCTCTTGATTGTCTGAAATTTGTCATCTGGCAGTTTCCTCAAAAAGGATTCATGGAAACAATGTCCCCCCAAGTTCTACCTTGTTCATAATTGGCCATTCTTTCCTTAAATGTCTAGTATAGAATTGGTGTTGAATGTTGTTATGAAGAAGTCTGATGCCAGCTGATGTTTTTCCTTTATGTGTTAAGTAACTTTGTATTTTGTTCTGATCTCCCAAATGGTTCTTTAATTTTAAAGTCATTTTATTAGGGCATGTCTCAGTCTTAACCGTTTTGGGTTACTTTTCCTGGTACATTTGTTCTTTTCAGGATGGAGAGTCAAGTTATTATTTCAGGAAATGTTTTTTTCCTTTCTATTGATAAAGTTAAAAATACAGAAAAGTATAGACAATAATATAACAAATGCATACTACCCAGAATTGATCATTATTAATATTTTTGTATAGTTTTACTTTTGATAAAAGAGAGACACTATTTTAAGTGCAAGTTCTCTTCATTCCCCATTCTCAGTTCACTTTCCTCCTCCATCTCTTGCTCTCAGACCAACGACAGTCATGAATTCTGTGTATGTCCTTCCAGTCCATTTTTAAAACATTTTTTGTAAACATTTATGCATCTGTAGAAAAAAAATGTTTTTATTTTCATAGATAGTATTCTTTACATTTTGTCTGCAGCTTGCTTTTGTTACCATTGCTTTTGATCTTTATCCTTGGTAAATCTATAATATAGTTCCATTCTTTTTTAACTGCTGTATAGTTTTCTGTGTTTTGAA